GAAGAAAAGGAGACGGACTCGCATTCCCGACAAACCCAACTACAGCCTTAACCTCTGGAGCATCATGAAGAACTGCATTGGCAAAGAGCTCTCCAAGATCCCTATGCCTGTAAGTCAGTGTGTCCCTGGCACCCAGGGCTGGCACAGAGAGTTTAGTTTGGGCACAACTCCTGGCTGTCCAAAGGATTTGGATTACAGCTCTGGATGGTTCTGCTGGGTGCTGTGGTGACACAGCAGCCCTGAGTGGGACAGGAGCATGTCACCAACTGGCAACTGTGTCCCAGGGGACTGGATTTTGCACTGGCAAAACCCTCTGAAACCACCTCATTCTTATCATAGAATCATGGAATGGGTTGGGTTGGAAGGGACCTTAAAGCCCATCCAGTTCCACCCCCTGCCATGCACAGGGACACCTTCCACCAGCCCAGGTTGCTCCAAGCCCCGTCCAACCTGGCCTTGGACACTTCCAGGGATCCAGAGGTAGCCACAGCTTCTCTGGGCAACCTGTGCCAGGGCCTCACCACCCTCACAGGGAAGGATTTCTTCCCCAATATTCCATCTCTCCCTGCCCTCTGGCACTGGGAAGCCATTCCCTGTGTCCTGTCCCTCCATCCCTTGTCCCCAGTCCCTCTCCAGCTCTCCTGGAGCCCCTTTAGGCCCTGCAAGGGGCTCTCAGCTCTCCCTGGAGCCTTCTCTTGTGCAGGTGAACCCCCCCAGCTCTCCCAGCCTGGCTCCAGAGCAGAGGGGCTCCAGCCCTGGCAGCATCTCCGGGGCCTCCTCTGGACTCTCTCCACTGTGTCCTTGTTCCAGGGTGAGCTGGAGCAAAGGGAACATTGCCCACGAGTCCTCTGCAAATCCAGCTGTTACAGAGCCATGGAGAGCCCCAGGACACTGTGAATCCCTGAGGATTCATGGAGAAGGCACCTTCTGGTGGTGTAATCCTGGGGACTGGACACTTGGGGCTCAGCCCCACCTGCACTGACCACAGCAGGGCTGGGTTGCACCCCAGGGACCCAAAGTACCTCGTTTTCCTTACAAAGAGCAGCTTTTTAGTGAAGGAGGTGCCAGGAGGTGATTTTTGGTGCTGCTGGGCTCAGTCCTGGGGGTGAAGGCTCCCTGTGATGGTCAGAGAGGCTTTGCTGGGGGGGTCTGTCTGGAGGAGCCTCTCTGGCTGCACAGAGGGCAAGTGGGGTGTGTGTTTAATTCTTGCAGATAAATAACTGTGCCTCAGCTAAATGCTGCCACACCAAACTCCCCAAAACTGCAGCCCTGTTTTTTCAGAGCAGACCAGCCCTTCTCAGCCTGCCTGTTCTCAGCAGCATGGGTGGGACTGGGTGCCATCTCCCCAGAAATCATGAGGGCCTGGCAAGCTTGGGAGAGCTGGAAACCTCTGGGGTGCCTGGGGGTTATTGTGCTGGCTGGAGTGGAATTAACCCAGCAAAGGGTGATCCGTAGCCCTGGAGTCGCATTCATGGTCCATACTTTGCTGGGCAAAGAAGAAGGAACACATTCCAGGGGCTTGGATGCTGAATTGGTTGTGTTTTGTCTCTTCCCAAGGCAGAGCCTGAGCGAGAGCTCCGAGCTCTGGGGGAGAGTGCTGAGCTGGCTCTTCCTGGTGCTGTTTCCAGCCCAGCCCAGCCGGGTGTGTTTCTGCAGCAGCAGCAGATCAAGTGTGATGGGCACAGCAATAAGCTCAGGATGTGAAATCCCAGCAGCTGCTGGTGCATGGAGACAGGAAACTTATACCTTCCCTATCAATCAAATCATCCCAGGAGCTGCTGAAGTCCAAACCTGAGGGCAGTAGGAAAGAGGGCAGGGTTAGATTGGAAGCTGGGAAGGAATTCTTCCCTGTGAGGGTGGGGAGGCCCTGGCACAGGTTGCCCAGAGAAGCTGTGGCTGCCTCTGGATCCCTGGAAGTGTCCAAGGCCAGGTTGGACGGGGCTTGGAGCAACCTGGGCTAGTGGGAGGTGTCCCTGCCCATGGCAGGGGGTGGAACTGGATGGGCTTTAAGATTCCTTCCAACCCAAACCATTCCATGGTTCCATGACAATAAGTAGGACACACCCCACAAGCTCAGCCACACATGGGCAGTTCTTTGGGAGACTCACCCCAAGAACAAGCAGCCTGTGGGCAACAGGGCAATTTAACCTCCTTCCAACAGCCACCGAAATCCTTTCCATGGTCCATGGAGAGGTGCAGGAGAGTTTGGCAGCTCCATGGATCCAGATGGAGCTGCCGAGGGAGGGCTTTGGAGCCGACATTGTGGGAAAGGAGGAGGAGGAGGGAGCGGAACAGGCAACTTGGGGAATTTGGTTTGGAAATGTGGTTACTTACAGCACAAACCATCAGTGAGTCCGTTGTGCTCTCTGAGTGATGGGATTTCTCATTCCATGGGCTTCTTGATGAATTAGGACCATTTCTGAGGTGCTCTTGAGTTGTTCTGTGATCCATGTCCTTCCTGGGGGATGTGATGGACTGACAGACCTCTTGTGCAAACAGCTCCTTAATTTTTCCTCTGATGTACAAACCTGCAGCACTGAAAAGGAGGAAAAGAGTTGTGAGGATTTGGGATTTAGGTGGGTTCATCTTCCTCCCCTTCCCCCATGGAAGGATTTTGCTTCCCCATTACCTGAGTGGTGCTGAGGATGGAGCTGCCAGCTTTGTTCCTTGCATCTCTCCCCGGAGTAATCCCAAATGATTTGCTCTTTCTGTGGATCTGATGCTGCTCTTTCTGCACAGCCCTCTTTTCTTGGATGCTGTAAGATCCCTGCCACTTCCCTGAGTGGAAAATTTAAAAACAGCTAAATCCTGGAATCTGGAGTTTGTTTTCTTTACCATGAAATATTTAACTTGGCTTACAGAAGTGGTTCTCCCATCCTTCAGCCATCTGCTCCTTCTAAAATGTATTTCTTTATTCTGAACTGAAATTAAAAAGTGAATTTCCTGTGGATTTGAGGCAGAAGACCTTCTGAGGCTCCATCTTTCTTTCAATTATTTTTTGATTTCAATATTTTTAGAGCAAAAAATAAGAGTGCTGTCATGGGAGTCCCTGGAGCAGGGAGACCCCAAAACGAGGGTTTTCCAGGTTTTTTGAGCAGGTGGGTCAGCCTGGCACAGGGATGGCTTTACCAGGAGGTGGTGAGGACGGGCTGGGGAGCAGCACATCCCTGTCCCGTGTTGCTGTGGCTGGTGGGATGGTGGCTGGGAGGCAGCAGGGAGCTGCTGAGGCTCATTTTGGGGGTCAAGTTGATGCCTGGGATGATCCCTGGTTATCCCACGGGGCTGCCCCACACCTCAGCTGGGGACTTCTAAGCCTTGGTGCTCCCGTGGCCCTGTTCAGGGAGCAGAGCACATGTTCCCTGCCTTTATTTAGAGTCTGGTGATGCCTCCTGGGTGTCTCTCCCTCTTCCCTAACCCGAGTCTTTCCCCTGCAGGTGAACTTCAACGAGCCTCTGTCGATGCTGCAGCGGCTCACGGAGGACCTGGAGTACCATGAGCTGCTGGACAAGGCGGTCAAGTGCGAGAGCTCCACGGAGCAGATGTGCTTCGTCGCCGCCTTCTCCGTGTCCTCCTACTCCACCACTGTCCACCGCACAGCCAAGCCCTTCAACCCCCTGCTGGGGGAGACCTACGAGCTCGACCGGCTGGAGGAGCTCGGCTTCCGCTCCCTCTGCGAGCAGGTGAGGGGCTGGGGGTGTCCCCCTGGAAGGACAGGCAGACAGCCAGCTTGTCCTCACACCCAGCCTTCCCAGTGCTCCTCTCCCAGCAGTCAGTGACAGGCAAGGACAAGGACAAGCTGCTGGAGTCCCCATCCCTGAAGGTGTTCAAGGAACGACTGGGTGCTCTGGTCCAGGTGACAAGGTGGTGATGGGTCACAGGTTGGACTCGATGATCTTGGAAGTCTTTTCCAATATCAGTGGTTCTTTGATTCTATGAAATGGCCTCAAGCTGCACCAGGGAAGGTTAAGGTTGGACATCAGGAGGAATTTCTTCATGGAAAGAGTGGTCAGGCATTGGAAGGGGCTGCCCAGTGAGGTGGTGGAGTCCCCACCCCTGAACGTGTCCAAGGAGTGACTGGAGGTGGCACTCAGTGCTCTTGCTGAGTGACAAGGTGGGGAGGGGACACAGGTTGGACTTGATGATCTTGGAGGTCTTTTCCATCCTAAATGATTCAGTGATTCTATGAAACGGCCTCAGGTTGTGCCAGGGGAGGTTCAGGTTGGATATTAGGAAAGATTTCTTCCCTGAAAGAGTTGTAAAGCCTGGGCACAGGCTGCCCATGGCAGTGGTGGAATCACCATTCCTGGAGGTGTTCAAAAAACAGGTGAACGTGGCACTGCAGGATAGGGATTAGTGGGCATGAGGTTAGACTTGATGATCTTGGAGGTCTTTCCAAGCTTAATGATTCCGTGATTCCTCCTGGCCAAGAGAGCCAGTGGGTTGCTGTTGGCCCTGGTGGGAGCAGCAGCAGGCACAGCCTAAGGCATGTTTTGGAAGCAGAGCAGGAGGAGGGGTGGGAGGGGAGGATGAAGGTGTCCTGGCAGCTCCCTGGAGCTGGGGCTCCTGTCACACCTCAGCACTTGAACAGCAAGGGAGAAGCTCTCCTTACCCCAGCTTCCTCAGCTGTGCCCAGAGAAGCTGTGGCTTCCCCTGGATCCCTGGAAGTGTCCAAGGCCAGGTTGGACAGGGCTTGGAGCAACCTGGGCTAATGGAAGCCAGAGGGGTGGAAGGAGATGAGCTTTAAGGTCCTTCCAACCCAAACCCTCCTGTGATTCCATGATTCAGTTGATGATTCTATGCAGTGATGCCTCAAGCTCTTCCAGGGTCTCTTTGTGCTGGAAGGTGTCTCAGGAGCTCGTTTCTTTCCTGCTGGACTGAAATGTTTTAGTTTCCCAGCCTGGAGGAGCCCCAGGAGCTCTGAGAGGCCCGTGCTCTGAGCACAGGGCACAGCAGGTGCACATTGATGGACCAGCAGGTCTTAATTAACTGCCTGGAGTGCTGAATGAGTTGTGACCTGTGGAGATAATGGACTGTTTAATGCTTAGCCCAGCTGGCTGGTCCGTCCTGGATTCCTGGGGAGGAACGGGGCCATTCGTTACCCCTTTCAGGCAGGACATCCCTTTGTGGAGGCTCTCTTTGCTCCAGAGGGTCTGTCTCAGCACACACTGGGAATACACAGTGAGGAGGCTCAGGCTGACACCAGCACCCCCATGTCCCCCTAACATGGTTTAGCTTGTCCATGTCCCTTGTCATTGTCTCCTCCAAGTCACAGCCCCTCGCCCCCAGGTTTGGGGTGGTCACTGCAGCGGGGGCCAGGCTCTGCCACCAGCTCCTCACAGCTGTGAGCAAAGCCCCTCTGTGGTGGTGGGTGCCCAAACCCATCAGACTCCTGCAGAGCACTGGCCTGAAGTGGGATGGCACCTCCTGTCACATCCCATCCCATCCCATCCCATCCCATCCCATCCCATCCCATCCCATCCCATCCCATGCCATGCCATGCCATGCCATGCCATCCCATCCCATCTCACCTCTCTCGGCTGTGCTGCTCTGGGCAGTGACGGGGAACAGGCTGTGGGGGCCTCCTGGAGGTGTGACCCCTGCTCGTGACACAGGGAAGGTCCTGCTGTGGATAATCCCCAAGATTCCTGTCTCTGCTGCCCCCTCACACCCCCAGGGCTGTGTGACCAACGTCACCCAGCTCTGCTTGTCCCCACATGGTCCATCCCAGCCTGGGGAGCTCATGCCTGTGGCTGCAGTGAGGTGGGACACTGCCAGACCTGACCCCTGCCTGCAGCCCTCCTGCCTTCCCACCTGCCCTCCTGCCTGCCCACCTGCCCTCCTGCCTGCACACCCACCCTCCTGCCTGCCCACCTGCCCTCCTGCCTGCACTCCCACCCTTCTGCCTGCACACCTGCCTCCCCTTCCTGCTCTGCTCCCAGGAGCCAGGTCAGAGGTGGCCATGTCCCTCCAGCCCCTGTGGATATCACAGAGCTCAGGTTCACCCACCTCAGCAGCATCACACCTTCACCTGCCCTCACCTGGCAGAGATTCCTGACTGTCAGCTGGCTTGGCCTGGACCATAGGAAGTGGATGATTCCTTAACAGGATGCTCAGTCCATTCCTTAGCCAGCAGCAACCTTCTCCCTCCTGGGTACGGGTGGGACATCTGGGTGGATTTATCAGCCTCACTGGGCTGTGATGCTGAAGCCCAGGGCTGTCTGTCAGGAACCTCTGGACACCTCTGACCACACCACTCCCACACCTTGTCATCCCTGTTCTTACTCCTTCACCCTCTTCTCCACCACCTTCCTTCCTCCACCCCTGTTGCCTTCCAAGTAATTAAGTTGCCTGGAATTATTTTCTCCAGGTGGTCCCAGTTTTCCTTCAAATTTGGTATTCCTGACCCTTCCACACCAGCCTGATCCCTGGGTGCTACCCTCTGCCTGTCCTTGAGTCCCTCCCTTGCTGGCACAGCACAAGAGCTTCATCCCACATCAGGAGTAATGTAACTGGGGGCAGACCTGCTCCAGAGCCTTTGGTCTTTGAGTGGAGCCTCTCCATCCCCCTGGAGCCATCTCAAAGGGCATGTTTCAGTGGCAGTGTGACTTTGACACAGGACAGACAGACAGACAGACAGTAAGACACCCTTCCCACTTCTCAGAATTTTCCTTGGATGCTGCTTGTGCTGCTCAGCCAACGTGCCAAGCCAAGCATTGATAATCCAGTGCCTGAAATCCAGTTATCCAAATAGGATTTCCTCCTACTGGTGACTGGGATTTGGTGGTGAGAGCTTGGCTCTGCCCCTGTGTGTAATCCTGAGCTTGGGGCACTCAGTCTGTAATTACAGCAGTGAAAATCATCCTGAGCTCCGTGAGCGGCCGCGGGGCCTGGACTCAGTGGTCCTGGGGATGGGTGGCCTGTGCCAGGCTGGGCTGTGCCACCAGCTGACACCCTGCACGAGGGCAGAACCCTCTGCCTGAGATGTTCCTGTTCCCACCTTCATTTTAGACAGCTTTTCCAGGGCAGGGGATGAACACCACCCTTTAACAAGTCATTCTCAGGCTTTAGGATGTCGTATCCGCTTTTCCAGCCCAGTGTGTCTGTAAAGGCAGAGCCAAAGTCTTGCTGTGTGTCTTGGACAAAGTGGGGACCTGTGTCCCCGTGAGTTCCAAGGCAGAGCAGTGGGAACTGCTGCTGGTAAGGAGAGGTGCTGTTACATTGGGATTACTGGGGTGCCAGCACTTCCCTGTTTCTCAGTCAGGATCCCTGGAGAGCAGATCCATGTCCTGGGATCATGGCACTCCAGCAACTCACCACGATGGTTGCTCGAGCTGTTATGGATAACGCTGTGAAATGAGCCTTAGCAAATCCTGGCAGGAGCTTGGCAAGCTTGGCACACCTCCTTTTGCAGCCAGGATACCTCATGGAGGGTCACCCCAATGCCCAGGAGGAAACTGAGGTGTCCAGGACAGCACCTGGAGCATCCTTAGCATGAAAGCTGGCATGGACCTCCTCCTCTCCGAGGAGTCCTGCTGTGATAACTCACCTGTGACCTTATGGGCTGTTCTCCTGTCCCCAGGTGAGCCACCACCCCCCGGCAGCCGCCCACCACGTGTACTCCCGGCGAGGGTGGACGTTGTGGCAGGAGATCACCATCGCCAGCAAGTTCAGGGGCAAATACCTCTCCATCATGCCACTGGGTAGGTGATGGACTCGGGGAGCATCCGGGGTTGGGGTTCCCAGCACTGCTCATGCAGCTCCCAAAGGTCAAAGCAGCTGGTCCCTTGGGCTCACCTGGGGCTCTGGGAATTCCATGGGCTCACGTAGTTCTCTGGGAATCCCTTGGACTCACCTGGAGCTCAGTGAATCCCTTGGGCTCACACAGGGCTCAGTGAATCCCACCCTGAGCAATGTAAGGAGCCCAGGTTTGTGCTCCTGGCTCAGTGATCCCACAATAACACATCTGCCCTGCAAGTGGAAATGATGCCAGCTGCAAAGGGAGGCCACTTCACTTTGGAAATAATCCTTTTTGAATGCAATAAGCTGCCTCCTTGCAGTGTTTTATTTGTGTTCTGCCTGTCCCTGGGCTGGGCATTGTGCCCAGGGCTGGTCCCAGAGTGGTGCTGGTGCCTGGCCTTGGGACACTGAGTCAGCCAGGCAGCACATTTCTGACCTGCTCTAAAATGAGTATTTTTGGCAGAGGGCAGAGGGCCTGGCAGGTTTTGAACCTCCCTTCCTGGAGCAGATGAGGGAGGGGGTGTGCAGGAAGGGGAGAGATGAATCCAGCCCCAGCCCCAGTGGGGGCAGAGGATGGGGGATGCAGGTAGAGGGGCTGGGGTTGCCCTGAGGATGAGCACGAGGTGATGGTGGGTTCTGGGGGAGCCTCTGCCCTCTCTGGACTCAGGGAACCCCTCTCTCCCCAGGTGCCATCCACCTTGAGTTCCACTCCAGTGGGAATCACTATGTGTGGAGGAAAGTCACCTCCACCGTGCACAACATCATCGTGGGCAAGCTCTGGATTGACCAGGTCGGTGGCTGTGGGGGAGGGAACAGGTCCTGCCTGGCCTCACCTGGCTGGGCATTGCTCTCCTGGGGTGCTCCTGCCATGGTGGAAAGCTCTGCTTCCCTGGCAGGGGTTGGGGGAGGCTTCCTGGAGCTCCTCCCGGCTCTTCCCCAGTCGGGCAGCTCCGTGGGGCAGGGAGGGGTGGCTGGTGCAGGAGCTCCAGCCAGCCATGGTGCTGTACCCAGTGTTGATTTGTACCTGCTCTACAACTAACAGCTGCTCTGTCTCTCCCTGCTGTGGTTCTGTCTTTTATCCAGTCTGGTGAAATAGAGATTGTTAACCATAAGTCCAAAGATAAATGCCAGCTGAAATTTACCCCCTACAGCTACTTCTCCAGGGATGTGCCCCGAAAGGTGAGTACCCACCAATGGCCCTGCTCCTCTTGCCAGCCTGGGGTGGGGTGAGACCTGGCTCTTCCCTCTGAGCTGGGCTCACAGGCTCCCAGTACCACTGGGATGAGCCCCAGCAGGGGCTGAGGGGCCGTGCTGGCTCCTTGGATGGGGGTCACCAGGGAGGGCTGGGAGGGACCTCCACGTCCTGTGTTTTTAACCTCCATGTCCCTTGTTTGGCTCTCTGTGTGCTGGAGCTGCAGCCCTGAGACCTGGGAGGGGTTGGGTGGGCTGGAGACCCACCTGCATGGTCAGAATGGCCACGTGTTCCCCTGTGCTGGATGCAGCTGATGTCTGAGGAGACACAGCACCAGATCCAGCTGCTCCAGCTGGGGCACCTGGAGGGTGTTCTGCCCCTCTGGGCACTTCCAAATGCCATCTCCCCCTGCCAGGTGACAGGGGTGGTGAGTGATGCCGATGGCAAAGCCCACTACGTCATGTCTGGCACGTGGGATGAGAAGATGGAGTGCTCCAAGATCCTGCACAGCAGCCACGGCAGCAGCAGCACGGAGGGCAAGCAGAAAACCGTGTACCAGACCCTGTCCCCAAAGGTCCTGTGGAGGAAGTACCCACTCCCGTGAGTCCCCTTGGCACAGGGTGCTGGATGGGGATGGGGGTGGGGGTGGCATTCCCTGGGCCTCGTGGGATGAGGGGCTTTGTGTGCCCAGGCCTGAGGACGTGGGTGGGGACCAGGACTTAGGGGGCTGAGTGGCTCTTTCTGGGGTGGGAGGGGAGAGCAGGTCCCTGCAAGGGGAAGGTGGCTTTGGGGGACCCTTGTGGGTGGGTTTGGGGCAATCAGGGGGTCTGGTTGGGTTTCTGGGGCTGTGGGCTATGGCAGGGAGGCGTGTTGGCTGCTTTGCCTTGCTGGAGAGTCCCTGGTCATCCTGTCCCACCAATCACTTTATCCCTCTGGAGATCAATCCTCCCTTGGCACTCCTGCCCCCAGCAGGGCTGTGCTCAGATCAGTCTCCAGCCTCTGGTAGCACCAATAGACGGTCCCTGATTGGGGATGTTCTGTTGGGATGGAGACTCCACCCCTGCCCTGGGCAGCTGTGCCAGTGCCTGACCACCCTTTCCATGAAGGAATTTTCCCAATATCCAACCTGACCCTCCCCTGGCACAGCTTGAGGCCATTCCCTCTCCTCCTGTCCCTTGTTCCCTGGGAGCAGAGCCCGACCCCCCCCCAGCTCCCCCCTCCTGTCAGGGAGTTGCAGAGCCAGAAGGTCCCCCCTGAGCCTCCTTTGCTCCAGGCTGAGCCCCCCCAGCTCCCTCAGCCCCTCCTGCTGCTCCAGCCCCTTCCCAGCTCCGTTCCCTTCCCTGCACACGCTCCAGCCCCTCAGTGTCTCTTGTCTGAGGGGCCCAGAAGTGCCCCCAGGGCTGGAGGTGCCCCAGCAGTGCCAGCACAGGGCCGGGCCCTGCCCTGGGGCTGGGACACAGCAGGGCTGGGACACATCTGGTTTGGCACAGCAGGAGCGGGTCAGCGGGGCTGGGGTGGGACAAAGGGCCACGAGGGGCTGGGGGGCCCTGCCTGAGGTGGCCCCCACCCCACCATCCTGACCAGGGCTCTCCGGCCGCAGGGAGAACGCGGAGAACATGTACTTCTTCTCGGAGCTGGCGCTGACGCTGAACGAGCCCGAGGAGCGCGTGGCTCCCACGGACAGTCGGCTGCGCCCCGACCAGCGGCTCATGGAGAGCGGCCGCTGGGACGAGGCCAACGTGGAGAAGCAGCGGCTGGAGGAGAAGCAGCGGGCCGTGCGCCGCAGGAGGGAGGCCGAGGCCGTGGAGGCCCTGGAGGAAGGTGAGGTGATCCGGGATGTCCATGGCGTGGGACAGGGAAGGGGTGGATGGATCCCACCGCTCTCTGTGGCCGTGGGAGGTGTGGGACTCGCCGGATTTCAGGTGGAAAAGCACCGCTGACCGTGTTCCTCCCGGGACAGGGAAGGACTACGAGGGGTACATCCCGCTGTGGTTCGAGCGGAAGGTGGACGCCGTGACCGGGGAGCTCATCTGCGTCTACAAGGGCGGCTACTGGGAGGCCAAGGAAAAGCAGGACTGGAGCGTGTGCCCCGACATCTTCTGAGCCCCTGCCCACGCTGGGGCCGCCCCGCAGGACACCGGGACAGCCTGGGCACAGCCCAGGGACAGCCCAGGGACAGCCCAGGGACAGCCCAGGGACAGCCCAGGGACAACCCGGACACCCCGCCGGCACCTCCCAGGGCAACCCCCGAGCCAACACATGCAGAGGTCGAAACAGGGATTCCAAACCTATTTTTTTACGCACTAATAAATAGCATCCTTTTTTTTTGGTTTTTTTTTTTTTTAATGATGGCTTTTTCAGCAACTAATTGGGAACGAAGGACACGTGGAGCCGGGTTGGGTTTGGGATATTCACTGCCTGTATCCCTCAGTGCCTCGGCTCCATCGGCCGAGACGTCGACTTCCAAAGATGCCCGGGGTGTGGGAATGCCGTGCGCTTGTGTGAGCTCTTCTCTTTGCCATGTTTTTTTTCCCCTTCCATTATTTCTGTGTGGACTTGATGGAATTATTTTTTTAAAAAAAAGAATCTGCTCCTGATTCAGGTTCCTTCAAAGACGGACACGAACAACCCTGAATCCTGCTCGGAAAACTGTCCCCAGGGGCCGTGGCGCTTGATCCCGGAGGCTCTTGGTGGTTCCTGCAGTGCCCAGTTGTCCCAGTAACACCAATTAGGATATTTCAGCTGGTGACTTCGGTTTTTTGACCTGTTTTTTTGGGTTTTTTTTCAAGAGCCTTTGAGCCGCTTCCCCACCGTCTGATGTGTTCAGTCAAGGCTTGGGACTGTCTTTGATGTGATGCTCTGTGGGAGTGGTTTGAGTGAGGTTTGGTTTGGTTTTCCTGCAGCCACATCGGAGGGGGAATGGCCTTGCCGAGGTCTGGAACGCCAGGCAGACCCAGTGCAGAGGTTGTATCCCAGCGATGCTCCAGGGTCCGTGTCCCTGCCCCGTATCCCGGCATCCAGGGCCTGGCAGGAGCCTGGACCTCAGTGCCGGGTTTTCCAGCTGCATCCCCCTGCTGAGCTGGGTGGGAGAGGAGGAAAGAGATGCCGTGGTGCCGCCGGGATGGAACCTTGGGCCTGGATCTCCTACCCCTGTGTCTTCCCCATCCAGCCAGACAGGTCTGGCCACAGTCCCCTGGCATGGGATGAGTCCAGAGGGTCCCAGCGCCCGGCTCCTGGATCCCTTCCCTCTGGTCCCTCATGGCTGGGCTTTCCTTGGAGCAGCTTCAGGTCACTGGGGCTGAGGGAACCCCTCGTCCCCTCTCACCCCTCCTGTGTGCCACGGCCTTCCCGTGGCCCTGGACCCGCCGGGAGAGGCGGAGTGAGCGCTGCTGGTGATCGGCCCCGGAGCACCGAAGGGGAGCAGGGCTGGCAGCCCCTGAAAGGTGGGATCCCCTGGGCCAGAGAATATCAGGGAGAGCTGGACACCTGCACTTGCCCCGCTGGATGTCATCTTTGGTGTCCTGTTCTCCGGCTCCTCACCATATCACACCGGCGCTGCCTCCCGGCACATCCCCGTCAGAGGGTAATTAGCAATAACGAACTTCGAGGCAACGATAACTGGAATATCCAGGCTGCACATGGGACACTTATGCAATCAGGTTCCTCATCCATCAGTCTCCTGGTCAGCTTCCAGCACCTCCATCCCCGTTCTCCCCCACATGTACAGTCCCTCCAGCCCTGTACGGCGTCACCGTGGGGAGGAACAGCCCCCACTGCTCTCAAGGGACCCTTTCATCTTATTTATTTGCTTCTAATTTATACATATATATAAATATATATAAAATTATTTTGCTTAAATTTCTATGGTACACAATAGATGAAAAATGATGAAGACAGAAGTGTCTGTCTGAGTTTTTGCAGCACGAGTACGATCCCCCTCGGCTCGTCCCTGAGGTCGGGGGATGGTGATGGAGTGATTCCCAAAGCAGGGAAGTTGTGTTTTGCTCCAGAGATGGATGCAGTAGCATTGAAAAGGTTTTCCAGAGACATTCCCCTCTGGAAACTATGTGTTTGGGGTTTGAGGGGCGGCACTCGGGATCCCTGGAAGTGGGATGCTCCAAGCTGCTTCCCAGGCCCTGGGTGTCACAGCCACTGCTCCGGCGTGTTCACTCCTTCCAGACCCTTCCTGGAGCTTTGCCCTGGCTCGGGAAAGCCGATGCAGGTCTTAAATGGTCCAGACTTCATTAGATGTGGGATTCGGCCCGTGGAGAGCTGCCGGTGTCCTGGCCCCAGGTGTCCTTCCTGGGAGAGCAGAGGATGCTCCACACCGATCCCGATGCCGCTGGGTTGGTTTGTGGCAGCACCAAAGTGTTCTGGGGGATTTATCCCACTTGAGGCCTGAATTGGGTTTGTAAAATGGGCTAAAAGTTGAGCTTTTCAGAATGCCTTACTTTCCTTTTTGCTGTGTCAATGCAAGTGTCACCTGGGAGCTTGGAGAGGGGAGAAACTCCAGCAGAGGCTGTTCCCAAAGCTGGATCTGGGTGTTCCTGCAGCAGAGGAGGGGGGGGAGCAGGATGTTGCCCTGTAAGTGCTGGCTCCAAGGGTCCTGCTCGGCTCTAGGGCCCTGAGAGGTCCTCTCTGATGTGCCCCCATGGCCACATCCATCTGGGAATCCCCATCACAACCCTGCGCAGCTCCATGGAGCACAGGGGAGCACGAGGAGCACCCCCAACCCAGGAATCCCTGGATTTTAGGCTAATTGAAAAAGTTGCTCCATCTTCCAGAGTTCATCTGTCAGCAGCACTTAACCAGAGCACCATCTCCTGGTCCTTCTGTTCCTCCTGGAGGATTTTAATGTCATTCCACTGTAAATGCTGTTGAATGTATTTTCTTTTTGAACAATAATATATTGTGAGTGATCCCTCTTCTCCTTCACGGAAATAAAACTTGGATTCGGGAGTTTTAAAAGCCGCGGTGCTGAGATGGTCACTGGCTCCCCAGGGCTGCAGGTGGGGGGTCCTGGAGGAGCCCCGAGGTGGGTGAGCTCTGGGGGGGTGTGGGGGGCAGAGGAGGGACCGTGGGAGGTGACCTGGGGAGGAGGAGATCTAGGGAATGTTGTTCAAAGAAGGTTGCCCAGAGGATGAGGAAATCCAGGGAAGTGGTTGTTCAGGAAAGGAGAAGAATCCAGAGGGAAGTTGCCCAGGGGAGGAGATGGTCCAAGGAAGGTGGTTTGGAGGGGAGGAGATGGTCCTTGGATGGTGCAGGGAAGGTGGTTTGTGGGGCAGGAGGCCAGAAGAGGAGTCGATACAGGGGAGGATTTTCAAGGCAGGAGGCGTCCAAGGGGAGGAGGTCCAGGGAAGCAGGAGCATGAGAGGTGGCCCAGGTGTAGGTGCCCATGGAAGGAGGTTCTCTGGGAGCAACAGCTTAGAGGAGGAGAACCAGGGAAGGGGTTGCCCAGGGACGAAGGAAGCCGGGGAAGGAGATCATCCGGGGACAGGGGTGTCCCAGGGGAGTTTGTCCAAGGGAGAAGATGGTGGCCCAGGGGAGAAGGAACAGGGAAGGAGGAGCAGGAGAGGTCGCTCAGGGGAAGGTGCCTGGATAGGGAGATTCCCTGGGGATGGTGGGAAGGAGCTGTCCCAGGGGACTGTGTGTGGGGCAGGAGGAGGCCCAGGGGAGCTGGGGGAGGGTCTGAGCAGGGGCTGGGGCGGGGGACGGGAATCCCAGGCAGGCTGAGACTGGTCCCTGCGGTCGTTGCCGGGAGACAGAGACACACAGCGCTGCCCGTCCTGGTCCTGCCTCTCCTGCTGCTGCCCTGCCTGCCCCAGGTGAGCACGAACCGGGGCTGGGCTGGGGGATCCCGGCCCTGGGACCCCCCTGAGCCCCGCTGAGCCCGGGGGGTCCCCGCCTGCTCCGGGTGCGGGCAGCGGGAGTGAGGACCCGGCAGCTCCCGGGGGCAGCTCCCGTGCTGGAATCTTGGCTTTAAGGAAAAGCAAAGCCCTGTCCCCCATCACCCTGCGGCGGGGCCGCGGCCCGGGACGGGGGTGGGCCGGGCTGTGCCGGGTTCGGTGTGTTCACTCTGGAGCTCTCTGGAGTGGGTTCCCCTCCCTGTGCCCTGTGCTGCAGGCTGGGGGCAGCCACGGAGCTGCAGGATGGTGTTTTCCAAGGCCAGAAGTGTAGTCAGGGTCACACAGGTGCCCAGCTCTCCCGCAGCCCCGAACCAACAGGCTTTTGCTCCTGGCACGCTTGTCCTGCTCCTCAGGGGAGCTGTTTGCCAGCCCGGGGTGCTGCCCGTCCTGCCCGTCCTGCCTGGACACCACCACCCCCCCACCCCACCCCGGGGGGTTTTGGCCAACCCCCAGGGCTTTGAGACTCTCGGCAACTCTTTCCTGTTGTAGCCCTGGACCCTGGGAAGCAGCTGGAGTTTGCAGGATCCTGGGCAAGGAAACACCGGGACGGTGGGCTGGAATCTGCTGATGCCCCGCTCAGCAGGGGAGGGGGTGGGAAGGGTTGTGGGGCTGAGATGTGGGGCTGCAGCGGGAGCACCCGGGGGCTGATGCAGCAGCAGCACTGGGGCGCTCCTGCCTTGTCCCCCCACGAACTCCCCGTTCCCTTTTTCCCCCCTGCAGCCTCCAGGTGTGGGTGTGCTGGGCACCAGCAGCAGCACAAACAGGGACACCCTTCCCAACACTGTCCTTGCTGGCTCCGGAATGGCTGGTGAGAGGCAACGGGGCACTTTGGGGCTTCCTCAGCGCTGCTTTGCCCCCCAGCCCCCTCTGCCCACCCCCTCTCCAGCTCTCCTGCAGAGCAATGCCCGCAGGGAATGATGCTGGGGCAGAGGGACATGGAGCTGGGGAAGGGGCTGGAGCAGCAGGAGGGGCTGAGGGAGCTGGGGGGGCTCAGCCTGGAGAAAAGGAGGCTCAAGGGGGACCTTCTGGCTCTGCAACCCCCTGACAGGAGGGGGGAGCCAGGGGGGGTCGGCCTCTGCTCCCAGGGAACAAGGAACAGGAGGAGAGGGAACGGCCTCCAGCTGTGCCAGGGGAGGGTCAGGTTGGATATTGGGAAAATTTCTTTCCCAAAAGGGCTGTCCATCCCTGGCACAGCTGCCCAGGGATTTAAAAGCCGTGTGGATGTGGCACCTGGGGACATGGTCAGTGGTGGCCTTGGCAGTGCTGGGGGATGGTTGGATCCAGTGCTCTCGGAGGGCTTTTCCAACCTTGCCAATTCTGTGGTTCCATGATTCCACAGCCAATGCTGTTGATTCCAAACACACACACACCACAGGGACCAAACCAGCGAGTGCTTGGAGAGCAAACTGTGTCCTGGGGAACATGCAAGGGGCAGTTTGGGCCCAGGTCCCCCTGGTTTGGGATCAGGACTGTCCTGTCAGGCAGTGGCTTCCCATTTTTTGTGACAGAAGATGGGGATAGTATCCCCATCCCATGCTCTGCTGCCCTGGCGCTGCCCCCCCGTTGAGCTGTGCCAACCCTGGGAGCATCATCAGGGTCAAATAGACCCTGGTTTAAAAAGAAAATAAGGAGGATATTGTGGCTTTTTCCTCTGGAAGCAGTGGAGGATTTTTCTGGAGAGGGTGGGATGTCTTCAGTGTCTGTGCTTTGGTGCCCACCAAATGCTCCTTGATGAGAACAGGAATTTCCAGTCCCTCCAAGGTGTTCAGATCCAGGTCCTTCCCACCCCTGCCCAGGCACAGGGTGGGCTCATGGTCTGCTCTCCCACACAGAGCTGGAAGGACACAGTGCTGGGTGTCCCCAGGGTGACAGCAGCCCTGTCCCATGGGAGCAGGAGCAGAGCTGGGCTCCTCTCCTGGGCTCCAGCCCGGGGGACTGGAGCAGCTCCAGCTCCATCTGCACCGAGGACTTCGCTGCCAGGTTCCAGGAGGGAATGGTGCTGCCTGAGGAGGAGGAAGATGAGCTCACTGGGATTGTCCCCACTGAGGGAGCTGACCCTGGGCAGGATGAGTCCTTGTTCCCCACAGGAAGAAGTCTGGATGTCCGGAGACAGCTGGTGACAGATCCAAGCAGAAAACTCTGGGAGGACAGGTCTCCATCCCTGATGAGGAGGGGGAGCCTGGAGTCCCTGGGAGCCAGGATATCCCGGCTGAGCCAGAGCCATGTGCTGGGGGGGGCCTGGGGGGAGCCCTGCCCAGCCCCCTCTGCCAAGCCAGCCCTGGGCCAGGGGGATCCTCCCCAGGGCGGTCCAGGCTCCAGGAAAGACCTGTTGGCCTTTGCCCTGCCTGGGCATCCCCTGAGGACTCCAGGGATCTCTGCTGGCAGGAGCAGGGCCGGGGCAAGGACAGGCTCTGCCAGTTTGCCTGGGGCCAGCAGTGCCAGGACCAGGGGACATCCCTCCAGCAAGGCCCTGGGCCAGAGGCTGCAGGAGCCACCAGCTCTCCGGGGACAGAGCAGAGGGAATGTCACCCTGGCTGTGGATGACACGGAGAGGGAAGGAGCAGGCAGCAGGAACAGAGCTCCCTGCTCGGATCACCGTGAGCCGGGGGTGCTGGGTGGTGCTGGAGGAGGAGGGAGGGCGGGACAAGAGGGGGAAGGGGCACGGCCGGGCCGGGGCCCCTCTCTGGGCAGGGCACGGCATCGGGACCAGCCCCAGCTGCTCGTGGGGTTTGTCTGCGTTTGGGGCTCCCCCTCCCCAAAACGCCCCTTTCCCCACAGGTGCTGAGGCAGCACTGGGAGCACTGGGAGCACTGGGAGCCCCCGGGCGATGTGGGGCCGGGACTGGGGTGTCACCTGTGTCCTGGTGGCAGCGTGGGAAGCACAAAGTGGGGCTGCCCTGCCAGGTACAGCCCTGGGCTGGCTGGGGTTTGGGGGGGCAGGGGGAGGGGGGGGATGTTCCCGGCTCTGCCTTCTGCCGGGACGTGGAGATCAGTGGG